TTTATTGTAATCACAAGCCTCATGCACACACACAGTATCCTCAAAATGTTTTAGGATATCAATTATTAAAAATCACAGGCTATAAAAAACACATAAGTAGACAAAATAAATAAATAAAAGTACCTTTCAATACATCACATTTATTTCTCCGTAAAATGAAGATAAAACTCACACTTAATTACATTTATTGTTACTTTAAGAATCATTTAGATATGTATAAATGGCAAACATCAATGTCATGTTACAAATTATACAATGCAACTCAAAATCAAGGATTTCATGAACTTAAATTTTTACAATTTCATGAAAAGTAACTTAAAATAATGCACTTAAAAACTCACTGATATTAGTTAAAAAATACTTAGTAATTCAGATATGAATAACTTTAATACAGTAAAATATATAATTAAAACATTACAGTAAGTGATGACATTCATTTAATTCCACAGTTACAAGCTCTTTTTAATATGACATTTCAATAATTAGGCATACAGAATATATTTATTTTGACTACTACAACTACATAAAGTATATTGAATTATAAAGTATACTGAACTTGAGCATAGTTACAGAAATATTTCACATATGTATATATTTTATAAAACAAGAGTTTCACTTTTCCCTCTTTAATTTCAACAATATAGCATTACAGAAAGACATACAAAGCTAGTGGGTATGTGAGGGGGGAATGTATGTTTTATATTGCAAAATAAACACACAAGAGAAAGTTTTTTCAGTCCATTTCAAAAGAACTGACTCCAAAATCTTACTACAAGAAAACAAGAGAAGGAACTTTTTATAACATTACAAAATTATTTAAAACAAATATTTTAATGGGTTTAAGGTACTTAAGTTTGATAGTAACAAATACTACAATTATTTTAACAATGACAAATATAAAAATGAATGAGATAAATAAAAAGAAATCAACAGACAATAAATATAGTTTCAAATAAAATAATAAAATTTACAATGAATTTCAAGGAAAAGAGTATGCTTTCTTTATATTATCTGCCTTACATACACATAAAATAAGAACAAGACAAATACAGAAACACCTTAAGTTTGGCACTATATTACACATACCGATACACTGAAATATATATGTATATACACACACACACATACGTAAAGCTCACAACTGTATACATCAAGGTTTTAAATCAATTTCTTTTGCCCTTTTAAGAGTCAACACTTATTCAATTTTTTTCCATTTATTTTATAAGCGTTCTTTTCAAAATACATGTTTAATTCCTATCTTATCATTCCGTTTTCCAACGTGCTTATTTCGTATGAATAACAAAGCAGTCTATTCAATTTTAATTTTATCATCGCATTTAGACCATTAAGCTCACACTTAACTGTATACATCAAGGTTTTAAATCAATTTCTTTTGCCCTTTTAAGAGTCAACACTTATTCAATTTTTTTCCATTTATTTTATAAGCGTTCTTTTCAAAATACATGTTTAATTCCTATCTTATCATTCCGTTTTCCAACGTCCTTTATTTCGTATGAATAACAAAGCAGTCATATTCAATTTTAATCAATTGCATTTAGACCATTAAGCTCACACTTAACTGTATACATCAAGGTTTTAAATGAATTTCTTTTGCCTTTTTAAGAATCAACACTTATTCAATTTTTCCCATTTATTTTATTAGCGTTCTTTTCAAAATACATGTTTAATTCCTATCTTATCATTTCATTTTCCAACGTGCTTTATTTCGTATGAATAACAAAGCATTCATATTCAATTTTAATCAAATGCATTTTTAGATAGACCATTGCCTTTGGTTTTTGCACTCTAAAAATTGATCCTAGATTATATTTCTGCTGTACTTTTGTACACAACATTAATATAATACATTTTGTGCTTTCCTACATTAAATGAAGTTCAGCCAAAAGTGTCTGTGGAATATAAACAGAAATTTAAGACCAACAAAATTCAAATTATCCAAAGAGTAATTAATGGCATTCTCCTTTCTCATACGTAGTATTATGTGGGTTAGTAATATATTGCATTTTTCACCCAGATTATAATCTCCTTATCACTTAAATTTAATGAAATAGATTAATTTATTTTCTAAAGATATTGAAAAGTGATAAAGTTCTTGAATGAAATATACACTTATATCATTGCATACAAACTGTTATCAAATTCTCCTAATAAGATGAAAAGCATCAAACTTTTAATGAATATGACATAAAAATCTCGCTTGGTGTTATTCAGTACACAACTTCTCTAAGGTTTCAGCCCACTTATATCATGTACATGGAAAGCAGAATTCCATTATACTGCCATAAGCAGTAAAACTGCTTGAAAATTTCATAATATTACAGCACAATATTTATGCCAAACACTGCTAAAATTTATATATTCTGAATTATACACTGTAATTTCTTAAAAAAGAGGTTGAATGCTGACACTTATTTCAGCATAAAATATAGTTATTTTAATGAATACATTTTTTCCTTTAAATCATTTTTAAGCTTCAGCTTCCCTTGACGGATCTTTATAGATAACATACAGAATTTAAAATCGTAAAAAACAACCTTGTATTTAGCAACTCTGATTAAAAATCTAGTTATAACCACGTGCAGTGCTGATAAGGACCACGTGTTTCTGTGACTCCTTCTCCTATTTTCTTCTTTCTATGTATTTCTTTCTCCTGATGAGGAGGGACCTTTAGCTGCCCTCGAAATCGATCGAGTGTTTCATTATACCTACGCTAAATACAAGGTTGTTTTTTACGATTTTGATTGTCACATTAGCGTGTTTCTCTTCTAGTCTATACAGAATTTACTTTTTGATGTCAAATTAGATGCACTGCTTTTCAGGTGCATTCCTTTTTTCCTTAACAAATACACAAAAATGAAAAGATTTCTTTCTTCTAAAGAAAATGGGAATATTTAATTACCACAAAAATAAATAATCTCACTTTATTTCATTCAGACTTTGTAAGAAATGGGAAAAACATTCCTAATGGCTTTAAAATCACTTAAGAGGAATGCAAAAAAGGAAATAGGTCTGAAAAGGTTGGCATTGCTAATGTTATTACAATCTGAATTAATGACATTTCCTTATTAAATAATCCAATGTCTAATTACAAATTAATTAGAATACTTGGATTTTGTGTATAGTAAAAGCAAAGCATTTATTAAAAAAGAAATTAAAATATAAATGGTTGAAAAAATATTCAAGGAAGCAAACTATTTTTCAATTTATGTGACAATTTAATAATGGTTTACATAGTATGGTGAGAATTACTTTCATTACTCAAAGGAGATGACATCTAAAATGCTAATAGTGTGAAGCATTTCATCTTATTGCTCCTATTCATGCCTTTAAAAACTCTTAACAGAAGTAGAGAAACGTCACTGGCTGTTTTCTGAATCATATTTTACTTAATATAACACACAAAAGAAGGAAAAGAGACAGAGGAAGTGAAAATATCGGAAAGTGACCAAAATCACAATACAGAAGAGAAATAAGAATTCCATCAATTAAGAACAAGTATAAGCAATGACAGAAAACTTTAATAGCTGATAATAGCACTGTATTACCATACACTATAGATCTTATCGATATACTTTTGGCTCATTATCACTAAATTTAAAATAAGTTCTGAAGCTGACCAAGGTGCTATCAGAAATTTTAAAAGAAATTCCAGTCATTATGAAATAATACTAGTAATTTGCAGATTAATAACTTATTGCATTTTGAATGATCTTTTAATCTAACAATCATTATTTAAGGAAAGAAGCACATGATATTGTGACATTTCTAAATCCCTACATTAAAAAAGTGAAAAAAAATTGCTTGAAGTAGAAAATATAAGAATACATTGTAAAAGAGTAATGAAATACATTACGACCTTTTTTTTTTTTATTTTTTATTATCACAGCTTGCACATATGTATATAAGCTTAATGAAAATGACTTCATCATTGTTGATGAGATATTCTCCACAAACAATATTTTCTATTAGTTAAGTAATAAGCTGTTAAGTAAATTAATGAACAAAAGTGAATTTTTGTTGCCACCTACTGAAAAGAAATAGCTTGAAGCTTCAGATAACATAGGAATTAGTAGCCCTTGGATATATTAGGCTCAAATCACAAAATTTCCAAATAAAATCACATCTTAAACAATCAGCAATTGGTAACAATTCATAATGGAAAGTATAAAAACTGTACTGCAAGATTACAATAGAATAAATATCTATAGTATTACACACAAAACAACAATAATGAAACATCTATTTATTAACATAAAGACTTCAATCATATATTTTATCTAAGTACTTTCAATAATCCCTAACTTTTACAAAGTAAATGTGAAGCTAAAGACATGACATAACATAACTTAATACATACCAAAACTTAATTCAGAAGTCAAACAACAAAAATCAGCGTTATATTTACAAAATTTTCACAGGACTAGTTTCGATGATTTTACCGAACCACCATCTTCAGCTGCAAAACCGCAAATGAACAAGATAGGAAATAATGATTAGATAAGATAAGAAAGCCTGGACAAGAATAAGGACCCCATTCCGGATATGAATTCCTGGGGTATTTATAGGATTCCTTGCCAGTGTGGTTTAATTTACATTGGCCAAACTAAGAGAGCCTTAAAATTTCGCGTCAAAGAACATGAGGCATATGTTAGAAAAAAGGAAACACAGAAGTCTTCTGTTGCTCAACACTGTTGGTCCGAAAATCACACTTTCAATTTTCTGCTTCTAAAATTATTCAAAAAACATCTTCCATTGGAGAACTGGATTTTCTAGAGGCATTTCACATTCATAAAAATCTTTCTGTTCTAGTTAACAATCCTAATTCCAATCCAAATTTGCCTTCGGCTTTTAGAGAAAATTATGTTTTAGTTCTGGTTTCGCCAACAGATGGCGCCACTTGCTTATTCATGTCCAGGCTTTCTTATCTTATCTAATCATTATTTCCTATCTTGTTCATTTGCGGTTTTGCAGCTGAAGATGGTGGTTCGGTAAAACCATCGAAACTAGTCCTGTGAAAATTTTGTAAATATAACGCTGATTTTTGTTGTTTGACTTCTGAATTAGTATTTATTCGGCGTGTTATTGTGTCTTAATACCAAAACTTATTAAATAGAATGGTTAACATGTGAATTTTTTATGCTTTTATGCTAACTGTGAGTATATGCATATATATTAAATGAATAACTTAAGATATAACTAATTACCTTACTAGGCTGAAACAGCACTTAATTTTCTACTCAAATTACTTGCTGTTAATGAAGCATTTTTAAGCATACCACACAGAATTTTAATAATTTTCTGCATGACTATCAAAATATTTCATAAATAGGCTTTGAGTTAAAACTCCAATTTAGGATGAAATACAGCAATGCAATGCTAAATTATATCTAAATGCTGATAATGGTTAAAATGATGTTCAGATGGCATAAATATGATGAAGTTAAGGACTTTAGAAATAGGAATACTAGAGATTAGTGTCTTGAATTAAAAAAATAAAATGCTTTAAAAGTTAAATGCAACTGTTTTAAATCACTTGAAACTTTTATCATAATTATGTAATGACCACTGGGAGAAAGGAAATTACATGGAATCAGTGATTCGTATGGAATTACCATGTCCTCCAAAATTATGATTAACAATGTGACTTTGATAAAAATTTAACACCTTGGATGGCTCTATCAAGAAACTATTATCTTAATACTTTTGATTAATTACACTTACTGTTAAATGATTTTCAAGGAGCACTTTGAGGTTAATAGAAGTAATAGTGTTTAACCGTTACAAAAGTTAGATGATCTGACTGTTACAACAGATTTGATCAAAATACCACTAATCTTTTCAATATAGAAATAAGACTTGTTTAATGTACTACCTGCTTAGTGTACTACCTGCATGGTAGATAGAACACTAAATAGATATTAAATACTTGTAATATTTTAGCGTAGAGTTCAAGCACTCTTAAGTTTTACAAATATCAATACTTAAAGTAAAAAATTCATGTTGATTAGGCATACATTATGCAAGATCATCCAGAGGCAAGCGATCTGGATATAGCTCTCTGGGAGAGGGAAGAGGTGGAACTAACATCCCTTCATCCTCAATAAGCCCTCCAGCAGCTCCCTCAATAGTTGGTGCAGGAACATGAGCAGGAGCAACAGCTTCCAGAGCACCATCAGCTGCTGCTGCAGCTAAATTAGTAATCGATTTACTTTTAACGCACTGAAAGTCTACATGTCGACTTTTTGCTTCTTCCTTTTCCCAAGACATTCGCAAAAAAGGTCTTTGGACATAGTTATAAATTACTTCAGCTCTCCCTCCAGGACGGCATTTAACTTTTTCCTTGTAAGTTGGATAACCTAGATCAAAAATTAAAACTTAGATATTGTTTAAGGATTACAAACTGGGTGTGGATACTTTTTAAGAAATTACATACAAAACCAAAAAATTTATTTTGGTAATATCCATAAAATTTCATTACTTGAACATTCATAAATCTGAAAGCAAGAATAATACATGGAAAATCATATAAAACACCTTACATATGAGATCTGTTTTTAACTTAAACAATATTTTTAACATTAACAGTATTCTCAATATTAATTGCAGCCATGTATTCATAAAATATAATACACAACAAACCTGCTGCTAACGATTATAATTAATTTTTATATGAAATTTTATATCATGCAAATTTACATTAGCATTATATACCACAAAACACTCGAAGACTATGTGTTTAAAAGGAGTTATGTCTCACACAGGATGTTTGTAACAATTTGTATTGCGTTACATATAGCGAAAAAACACAAAAACTCTGCAATCAGCCCATTTGCTGGGAACTGAACTCCATTGAAATTACCAGTCCATCAATCTTACAGATCTTAGCACTGATAGGTCACATATATTTGGAAAATTATTTGTGTATTTTAAGAAAAGGGAGAGAACAATTTTAGAAATTAAAAAAAAAAAAAAAAATTAAATGTAATACATCACAAAAAGAGTACAATAATACTTCATGCTCTTTTTGTGGATATGAAGAAAACAGAAGCAAGTTTACAGTCTGTTTGTTCTTTACAGAAAAATTTTCCATATGAAGCTATTTTTTGAAATGCTTCACTATATCAACAAGTTATACATAAGCAGCATGGGAATATTTTTTCCCCTCACATGCAATCAAAGAGCTGAGAAGACAATATGCAATGGGTGGCCAGGATTATTTTGCTTTATATACACTTTTTTGTATATTTAGAATAAAATTAACTTTTCGCCCGTTTCTGGATTTGAAGAATTCAGCAGGAGAAATATCTATGACAAATTTTACTAGTGTCTGACTAATTGCTTTTGCAACAATAAGTCTTGCAATCACTCAAGCTTCAAGGAATTTAAATACGAATGCTTCTCAGAAGCCATTCACACATCAAGGAAGCCATTTGATAAAAATAAAAATCACGTCTGCTTTGTCAAGGAAAAGTTTTTTTGGTGGGGAATCAGTCAGTGTCCACCTGAGCAGGTCCAGAAAACAGAGAAAAAGCAATTCAGTGGCCCCTTTTTGACTACCTTGCTAATATAGTTTCTTAAAGAAATTTCACGAAAGCATATTTTGAAAAAAATTCATACAAAAAAAAAAAAAAAAAAAAAAAAAAAAGGGTTTTATATCTCTAAAGTACTTGCAGCTTGACAGCAAGATTTTGGTATTTTTCCTACATACAAGAAAAAAAAGTATTGAGTTTTTTTTAATACAGAAGTAAAAATTAATAAGCTCTACAGTTAAACTGTCTTACACAGCACCGAGTAAGGAGATAAAATTTAATTTTCTCTGTATATATATCATTTTCAACTTATTTTGCAAGTAATGTTTTTCGAGTTACAAGAATAGTGTACAAGTGCATGCATTTTCAATTCAGATTTATATGCTAAACAAGCACACATTTGCACATATAAAATATAAATTAATACATACATAAAAATGGAAAAATTAAAAAAAAATGCAGCTTAAGAACTAATGTATTTAAATATAACTAAACATTTGTTGTGATCTCACTTTTTTTTCCTTTTGCTAGATTTTGCTAGTATAATTATAGTTAAGAATCTTTTGTTAAATAATGTAACATCTAACTGCTCATTTTGGAAGGAGGAAATTCACAACGTGCCCTTCTTGGACATATCCCACTGTAGTCACTGCACAAGGACAAAAGTACTCTTGAATTTAGCAGAAAAGTTCTTCTAGTCATTAAAAATGTTACAAAAATCTAGGAACAGTCAAAAGCGAATTATGAAAGCATCATAAGATTTCATATTTGTTCAGTTTTATACTTTTTAGTTCATAACTATTGTCAGAAAAGAAAATATCAGTGCACTTTGCAATTTATTCATTTGCAGTTATTTAATCACAAAAAGAAAAAAAAAAAAAAAAAAAATACTACACATTTGGATCTTCAAAATGCCTTACTAAAATTCTTTTATTAAAAATTGCGCCCTAATTAAAAAAAAAGTCTGAAACTGGAACAAAATAATAAAACCTGTGAATATATGACATACAGATTATATTCATTAGCCTTCCATCTGCAAATACCTAGGAATGTGTATGTGTGTGGGGGGGGACAGGTGATCATAAGCAATAAAAGTTAATAGGAAAATATGAGATAAATTAAACAGCAATATCTATCCAAATGCAGTTCCATATATTTCTAAAACACATGCGAGAGTAAAGAAAGACAGAAAATCAGACATTTCAGGTTACTTTTTGCTCTACATAAAGCTAACATTAATCTTCACAGAACAGTAGTACGATTTTCTTTACGTTACATATAATACAAGCTTATAAATGAAATAGTTATTCTCAAATATCAACTAGAAAATTGCAGATATCATTAATTAAGTTAAAATTACTGATGATCAAAGTTGTTTAAGATAACTATACTCAGTTCCTACTCCTCAATAACATTTTCATGATTAATAATCATACTGTTTATGTACTTGAACGAAATTACCATACTTATCGATACAGATATATGATGAAAAATTTCCTGATCAAAGAAATTCAAAGTCAAACAAGTCCAACATATTCTTGCTTTAGAAAAGAACTTCATTACGAAATGACATCTTATATAATACATTTATTATGGAAAATTCATACCTTCAATGCCTAGACGTATTTTCTTCAGACCTCTTTCTTTCAATACTTGTTTTGCAACATCACGGTTTTCAATGTATTTAAAAAATCTATACGTAGCAGTGCTGTATATGACTATAAAAAATGAAGATAAGAACAAAATTAAATTTTCAAATAATATCCTTTATTCAAAATAGACAGAATAATTTGCAGCAGAAACACATAGTAGCTTACTTTGTGAATATTCTTCGCCCATCTGTGGAGGATAATCCATATCCCAGTCAACAACATCATCATCCAAAAGAACGACTATATGACATTCCCGATCACCACGCTATGGAAGGAAAAGTAAACACATAAGATCAGAAAATTTACATGGGGTAACAAACTTGCATATAAAGTGCAAACTTAAATATATACTCAATAACTCACAGGGACAACACATGGAGCATCTGAGATCCATATACAAAGAAAATTTTGCTGCCCTTACGCATGCTGACTCCTCTCTCTCTGTATATAAAACAACATATATGCTCACGTATTCCCCTTTTTACTAATTTTATCATATGAAAATTGAGAAGGAGAAATTATGTGAATAACTTAATTTTCAAAGGACGCAATTATAGTAAGTACCAAACAAATGAAAAATATTCATAAATAAGTCAACCGCTGATCCCCAGGCCTCAAATCATTTAATACTGCTGGAAGTGCTGTCTGTGTCATCTGTCAGAGCCTGCAGATCATCTGTATATTATCACCTATTGTCATTGTCTTCATTACCATTCAGTCTGTCTTCCCACATGCAATTACCTTGAAAACCAACAATGGACTTGAAGCTCTTCACTATGATTAGTTTATCAATCACAGCTCATGCACCAAAATTCCACAAGCAAATTAATTAGTAAGATGGAAACAATCGCTACATGAATGGATATGTTTTAGCTTGCTTTTCTGAACATCTTGAGAAAGGAGTAAATTATGTGAAAACCCTTGTGCTAAAATGCTAGGGTAAACAAAATATGAGTTGATCAGTGCATGCACACACACACACGCACATATTTGCAATGAAACCATTCTAAGTCAACCAACTATGATTGCAGACAATTTTGGTTTTCTATATATTGTACTTTTATATGTAGAAGCTGTAGCCTTAATTTTTACCTCTTATTTGGGGAGGGGATTCTCGTGGACAAGCCATGCATAGCCTATCTACCGTCTACAATATTCTTTTTGTTTTGCAGGTGTGAAAGCACCTAAAATGAAAATAATATTTACCACACACTGAGTTAAGACTTTTATTATCAGTCAAAAGGAACACATTTCCGTGCTTACTACCTTTTATTCACGGCCACAGTTGGTTCTATTAGAGTGGTTGCCTGCACCACCTGTATACTTGGTCTCGGTATACCACAACATGTCATCCTCAGAACCATCAACAGCAGCGAATATTCCACTCTTAAAAAAATGCTTTAATGATTGTTTCTGGTTTGACATTTTTTTTCAAGCTGAGAACACTCAGACATTCGATATTCCCTTTTAGCATAATGTCATGACTTCCTGTACTCATCTAATAACTGTAGCCTGCAGAATGAACTTTTAATAGAGTTACTAACAGTAACATCAAGGAGCTGGAGCATGGAAGTTAGACCTCCGGGAACCACAGCTATATCAGTTTTTAATCATTTAATTTCCTCTTGACTCGACAAGTTAAATGACACTGAAAGCTGTCCCAAACTACAAGCTCTTGGGCTTCAGCAAACCATTAAATCTTCTATTTCAAACTGTTTTTAGCTAATCCAATTTGAAATTATCTTTAATCCAGCCCTCTTCCTGTGCATGCACAACACCTTGCACTATGTCTTTGAGTACAGCTTTAACAAAATATATCGTGACTGTTTTCTCCATTCGCCAGAACAGCCAGCAAAACTGTACACTGTTGCTTCTCACTACCTGCAGTCTTAGTTCTTACTGGATGTCAGCTTTTTGGTGCAACTGTACTAGACATAAGTATGTCCCAGGAAATGGCTTGTTTGATCCATGTTCCTGATTTCAGACAATGTATACCCCATTAGCTTGTCACTTGCAAATAACATCTCTTTCAAATTTCAAAATTTTGTGACGCAAGTTTGCTGCAAAGCATTATGCAACTTTTGTGCTATGATGCCGTGACAAACCACTCCTAAACAATAAACTTGCACTCCCTTTCTGCACTTCCTCAAAAAGCATGGCTTATCTCCCTCCAAACAGCTTCTTTACAAGCTTGGAAACATCATACCAACAGTTCAGCATATCCAGTACTTTTCTCATTCACATATGATAAAACATTACCTTACAGCTGCGGATCAGAGAATTGTATAATTTGCAATTTAAAATGTACATTGTAGCTAAATCATTTGCCTGACATTTTCCTTCATATGACCAGCAACTACAACTAAACTTGTATAGTTCTATGTAACATTCACCCAACAACAATGGACTTTATATTCAGTCATCAAATATGCACTACTAAGTTGCCACATGTTTGTATGTACCTACTTCTAATCATTTGCATGTATAAGCCATATCCGATTTCAATCTGCCTTCTGGTGAAAAGAGAATGGCTTATACACACAAGAATATAGTAGGTGGTCATCTTACACATCATGACTATCAGGGATTTTCAAGATACACGTTTAGTTGGACTGTCAGAAGTATTTTCAGTAGTCTTCTATGGGAGCAGTTGGAAATAAGATGTTTCCCTGCATATATATATATGTGTGTGTGTGTGTGTGTGTAATGATACTTTTAAATCAATTGATTAAATTCTAATCATATTGCTTAATAATGTGTTGGCGATTCTCTACCTAAATTGCATTCGTTCCTAAATTTTGGCGAAATCCTTTCTTTATTATAAATTATATTAATATGTTGACGCCTGCCAAATCCCAAACTCATAAATCTGTCATATTACATAAAATCCTTAAGAACACTCCTGCTGGGAAGATAGCGTCACCTCGTGATTTCAATTAATATCATTGATTGGATGAGCACCATGACACACACATATCTATAAATAGGACTTCTCCTTAAGGTACAGGAGGAACACTTGTCAGATAGATGCTAAAATAAACGTATCACTTTATATTCTAAAATTTGTCTCATTCCTGTTGCCCTGGCTGCACAACACAATGTATGAGAAAATACATTTCATATATATATATATATAAACAACTAATATTAGTTTAAATGAAATAATATTTTGCTATAATTAAAAAACTAGAATGATTTAAGTTTATCTTATTTAAGGTAAGACAGTCATCCCTAGCTTCACCCAACAGCCTTGTCTACCAGCTCAAGAAACATGAATCTTGTAATTTAAACATCTTGTATTATACAGAACAGCTGCATCCAAAAAATCTTTATAAAATTGACTCTTATGTTTTCTTTATATTAAAGCTATGGAATACACATTAAATAGCATACATTTATAAATATATTTCTTATACAAAAACGTTACTACAACCACCACCACCAATTGCAGCATTTGTGAATTAAAATTATCCCTCTTAAAACATTCTACTAATCACCACCACCTATAAACTATAGTTCTGCTGATGTGCTAACTGGATTGAAATTTTATAAACATATATTGTTCAATAAAAGCAAGATTCTCACATGTAATTACACACATAATTATTTATATTTTTAAAGTACGCTAGTATTTATTTCTTAAATAATACTGAATAATTTCAATAAGCCAAAAACAGCTTGAGATAAATTTTGCAACATTCAACTTCCAAATCCATCTACAGCAGATAACTCCCCATAGTGGGGGAAAAAAAAAAAAAAAAAAAATTACGAGCCACAGGCAGTTCCCCTGTGACTTAAAGAGAAGAAATATTCTTCAGTATCAAAGAAATTCTTATGCTTGGGGTGGGGGGGAAAAGAGACAAGCTCAGATGGAGGCATTTTTCCCCCTTGTGTTGAAATACTAATCATCACACACAAATTTATTGTTAAATGTATATAAAAATAATTGCATAATTTCAGATACAGAGAGAGTTACATAATTTGCAAATAAGTAAATGTTACATTGTATTATGACAATAATGAAATTCTTAAAATTCACAATCAAACTTGTAATATTCAGACTGTAAGGCTGATATAAATTACCTAAACTGATCTCAAAAATACACTGCAAGTTTACATTACACTTGCATGCATGCATACAAAAAGTATAGGAAAACATGTTAACAAAAGCACAATTAACAAGGCAGCCAATTCTAAATTTACCTGGGCTGAAGCTACCATTACAGGTAACAAGAGTTCTTCCAAAAATTTTTCAAACTGTTGCCTTGCTCCTTCATTTGAGAGTTCATGCAGAAAACCCCCTGATATGCAAAAAGTGATTATATTAACTTTATACAAAATAATACTTGATAATTAAAAGAAAATTAGTCTACATGAAAGTTAACACAAAGTAGTTCAGCATCATTTATAAAAGGAAAAAAACATAATTATTTGCAAAAATATTTACTTTTAATTTAACACCATTTGACATATTCAAGAAAGTCGACATATTTCAAACTAACAGCAAAAGATTCCAATCATCCTCCATGTTTTTCACATACTATACCTCTTTGCATTATAAAATCCTGTCTCATTTTTTTTTTTTTTCAATCTAAATGCAGCTGGACAAGGTACCGTAATTTTGGGTAGATAAGCCGCCCCTGGCATTTATGGCGCACACATGATAATTGACTAAAAAATTAAAGTTCATCAGATAAGCAGCAAGCATTCCGAGACATGGGACTTAATATTCATTTATTCAGTAATTTCCAGCCATATTGATGTAATCATCATCGATTTTATAACATTTGAAAACATAAATATAATCAATGATATATAAATAAATAATCTTAGTTTGCACTTGACGAAAACACTCTGATGATTTCTAAAAGATATAATTTTTATGGGTTCGGTAAACTTCGTTTATCACCATAAATTACCATATTATGAAAAAAAATGTGTAAATTAGATAAACAGTATTTTTTAATTAAACTACATTTATTTATGCAAAACCTTCAAAATCTGACTTACGGATGCCAGAATTAAATAAATTTAACAAACGAACATTAGGGTCAATTTCACCAGTCTGTTCTATGTCACTTCTTTCAACTTCCCTATCTTCCCTTTCATTTTTGACGATTTCCGATTTAGCAAAAGCTGGTACGATTGTATCGGCTCAGACTGATTGCCATGTTTTATCGACCCATAAGGCAGCCTTCTCATTCGTCAGGAATTTGTGAAGGAACGGAGTCCACTTTGCATCCATTCCTTCCACTTCTTTTGTAGTTCATGCTTGAAAATTCTATTGATAGTGAGATCCAGCAGCTGTAAAATTTTTGTAACCCTACCTGGTATCACTCGGACATAGGTGCAAAGTTTTTTTTTTTTTTTTGCTTCGGATCTTACTGCATCTGCTAAATGGGATCGCATCAAATCCAGAACAATGAGTCCTCGGGGTTGGAAAAAAGCACCTTTCCTTTTCCAATAAATTTCTCTTAGCCCAAACAACATCACTTCTTTGCACATCCATTCTTTTTCGCTGGCCCAAACAGTAACTCCTTTAGAGAAGTTTCCTTTCGGAATTATTTTTCTTTTGAAAATTATCAAATGGATTAACTTCTCTCCATTGGCGGCACAATCCAAAACACAAATAAAAGAAGACTGTTCATTCCTGGTTGTTAACACTAAAATAGTTTTTTTACATATTGAACGGACAATTCTGCTTGGAGGACATTGAAAAGTAACTGGCACTTCATTTATATTAATTATTTGCCTACTTTTCAAATTTTGTTCCTTAATTTTCTTAGTTGTGTACTCCAAAAAAGCTATCTTTTTTTTCAAGCCAGTCCACAGGAAGTTTTTGTTCAACTGTTGTTTTGGTCCTGACATAATTTCTTTTGCTTCATGAACCTTAAACGCCAAGCATTGAATGAATAGTTCTGCTCCAAGGACAGTAACAAGCACTTCATCCATATTAATTATTTGCCCTCTTTTCAAATTTTGTTCTTTAATTTTCTTAGACATGTACCCCAAAATAGCTATCGTTTTTTCAAGCCAGTCCATGGAAGCTTTAGTCCAACTGTTGTTTTGGTCCTGACAGGTAATTTCTTTCGCTTCGTGAACCTGGAACACCAACTAGGTCCTCCAACAAAATTTTTAATGCCCATTTGTCAAGCAGTTACCTTTGCTTGAAGGCAAGTTCTAACTGTTGATACTGATAGTCCACTTTCTCTCTGCTCTAATGTCCATTCTTCCAAAACAGACCAAGCTATGACACCAGTTTGATGAGATCTTTTATTCTTATGCATTTTCTCTAATTCTTCTTGGTGGGACTTCCACTGTAGAATGCATCGCTCGCCAGCTTGAAATTCTTTAGCCACAGAGCAATTTCCAATTTCAATTGCTTTCTTCACCGCGGAAAGCTTAAAAGCAGCTGTATATCTTTTTCTTTGAGTAGGAGCCATAATATTAATAATATTTTTAAAGTGCGAATGATAGGGCAAGCAAAAAGCAAGCTACAAAGTAGTAAAAACGTGTAAGAATGAACACAGCACTTGGCAAGCAAACGCAGCTGTTTCCATTAAAATTCAGAGGAAAACTCCAGAAAAACTATGGAGTTCAGCAGAAAGTACATGGCATTAATTACAGTGTCTCTACAGAGAGCACCACCTACCTTAGTTAGGCGAGTTTGAACTTATTGCACTGCCTTAGTGCAATCTGAGGTTAGAATATTGCAGCGAATTCTTTTTTGCTTGTGCATAACTTGAAATCTGAACTAGTGAAGTTTTAAGGACAGAAGAAAAATAAAATTCCCTCAGATACGCCACTCTGGCAGATATGCCACAGACCTTTCAACTTTTAAACACGTATAAGCCGTGGCTTATCTAGCTGAAATTACGGTAAATCATAAAAAATGAATTTTAATGCATCTTTCTCCAACACTTGTGTTTGTTTCTGAGTACATTACTGCATCTTTCTCCAACACTTGTGTTTGTTTTTGAGTACATGATGCTTCTCCAATATTTATTTTTAAATACATTTTCTGAGTGCACTAAGAAAAGATATGAAAATTCTAAATAATCTGCATATGTTTCTACGTTACTGCAACACTTATGAAGAATTTTATTTTTTTAATTTAAGAATGTCTATATAAGAATATCATGAAATTTTAAGGCTGCTGCATTATGTTAGCACATCATTTATCACGCATGCAATCTAGCAAGTACTGCTATGGCAGAAGACATAGGATATTTAGATATCTTTCAAACTATAAATGCAACTGATGTGAGAAATTTAAAAGGCAAAAATATTTTCTCTAACACTTGTTATACATATTTTTTTAAATATATCCAAATGGTCATTTCTATGAGCATTTACAGCATGCTTGTAATTAACAGATGCTTCTAATATAATATATATGCTTAACATGAGTTAACCCTATAAATAAGAACATGGTAATAATACTTGAAAGCTTCTTATGTTTTAATCAATAACAACATCAACTTAAAAATTATAACACAATGATCTATAATTTACAAAGCTAAATATGATGAAAATTCTTACTTAAATTATGGCATCTCACAGTATTTGCATCAAACGGAATAAGCAAATAATCACAAGCATCTCTAAGTTCAGGAACAGATACACTAGGTGGGCAGTTAATCATGCCTGTTTTATAGTAATCCTACAACAGAAGGGAATAGCGTTTGTTAAGAATAACTTTCACGATAACACACTCAAAAATAATTATTCACAGGACTATATGGCTCAGAAAACAAAAATTTCAGAATATAACTTTGTATCTTATCATGCAAAGAATTTATAGCATATTAATGCAGATCAATTTCATTGATGTATAATAAATACAAGAGTTGCTATGAATTAAGGAAAAGTCAGAAAAATGCAGAAACTTGTCTAAAATACTCTAATTTTCATCAAATTGCTTAAGTAGCTAGTAAAGAAATGTTACATTAGTTTACTGCATGAAAACTGGATACATTGGTTTTTGCATTTATTATTATTGTTTTGTATTACTATATTTTTAAAATTCACCTTTAATTATTTTGTTCCTTACTTAGTTGAAAATTTGCATTCATTTATTGTATATTTTAATAAACATTTAATCTGGTGTAAATAATTGTATTTTTAAGGGTTTAACTGGTCTATTATTTCACAGGATTCAGGGATGGATGAGACTTGATACCAAAAGTTTAAAAAAGATGAAACATTAATCAGAACTATACAACTGGTGCAGCAAAATAAATTAACTCATAAGAAGGAAAGTATTAATGATACTAAAAAATTAGAAAGATAATCTAAGGCCATTAAATTCATTTTTTTACCCCACCGCAGTAAGCTCATTGGAAATTCATAATTTTTGGATCTAACTCTTTAGAGCATTTAAAAAAAGTGAGGAATTTTCAAGTCCTGCTGTCTGGACGATTTCATAAAATGTCTTAAAGATACTGGCACCTTTATGCAAGTTGGCAATAATTTTACAAAATAAAGGCCTTCATATTGGGTCCTGGCAGCCTGATGAAGGTGCTTTCTTCACAACACAACCTGAACTTTATTGCTGTTGGTACCTTTATGCCTGGACATCCTCGATGGCTGATTGGCACACTTTCGCAAGTAGGCAGCATTATTTAGATCAACCCCTTCCCTATAGTAGAATTTGTAATTCTGAGTAAATACATGTTGGAAATATGTAAATAGCTCAACAGAACTGGACACAAAGCCTGTTTAAAATCCATCAGATCTGACAGATATTTTAGATATCTGGCTGCTATTTTTCGCCAAGCTAGATGACATTTTGAAAATTTCCACAAAATGCATTTTTAACAGCCAAGAACAGATTTTTCAGAACTTTCTAGCAGTTCATACATTTTTGACTCCCTTTGGTGAGAAAGGGGTAATATAAGGCCATAAGAAGGCTGCCAGCCAACTGAGAGTTAATTTAAACTTTTTGTAAACTTCAGTTTTATTGAATTAAGTAATTAAGAGATTTTAGTTCTTATTCTGTGCGCAATTATGCAATTCTATCAAACTTTTTTTTTAACTTAGAATTTGAGGATTTCCAAACACAAGCACCCATCATTTTAGGATAAAATTTATGACATTCATTGTGTTACAGAGGATTACAACTATAATAACAGAATCACATTCAGTTGACTTCAGCTGCTTTCTAATTTGCAAAACCTGTTGCTGCTTGAAACTGTAATAAGGGTTTAAGTTTACCTCTTCATATAGCCTGTTTATTCCAGAAATTTTTAAAGTTTAAAAAAAATATAGAAATACTTTTCTATATACAATACACATTCTAATTTTTTTCCTAAAGCTCAAAGAAATAGTAATCAAAAATACAAGTATAAAGTTCAGTTGTAACACATAACCATTTAAAAATTAAATACATTAATATTATAAAAAATAATAAATTTACGATGAATTAATTTTCAAATAGATTCGTAAGGTGTTCCAAAAAAGAGACTATAGTCTTTCTACCCATAAATATTGATCTCAGATGTCAGGGTCCGCCAAAATATAGGGTGGTTCAGCAATGCTGTATTCTATTACCGTACACGCTCGTGTAATGTTCGTGCTCATGTAACTTTACAGATAAAATTTATGTAAACAAAAGGTGATCTGCATAATGTCCGCAGCCCAAAAATTAAAGAATTTCTTACTTTAAAAAATATATTTTTTTAATATTGCCTTTTCCCCTTTAGTCAATAACATCAGTCAATATATTTAAAGAAAGAATATTCATTTGTTTTGTCTTTGGTTGGCACCAGGATGAAAGCAGAGACTTTCCTTGCATTCTGGTGCAGCTAGTTATTCAGTCATAACATCGGCTCCAGAAACCCACTCGACAGACGTGATAATAAATGAAGGCAGTCCAAACAGGTTTCTCACCACACTGCCTCGATCACATGAAATTTCTATCAATTGTTCTTTTTCTTCACGTTTTTTTTTTTTCATAATCCCGGGAAAATACATGTTGAAATTATTTATCAATGAAAAACAATGATTTTTAATGTCAGATGCTAATTCTTCTTTTATTTTCAAATTATTTTCTGTTAGAAAACTTCAAGTGGTAAAAAGCTTAAAATATTATTTTATCCAATTCCTCTTTGATTAGCTCGAATTTTTTTATCATGACATTTATTTTATCTCTAATGATAAACAAATTGAAACTTTGTCCTTGTAATTCAAAATTTAATTAATTTAACTTTCAAAAAATAGCAACTAAATATGCTAAACACACCAACCATAATTCACTAATATATATTTTTGCAATTCAAATTTTGAATGACACAGGAAAATTTGAATTTCTGATCGAAGTTCAAAAACATGATTTAAAAGTTTGCCTCTGGACCTTACTTCAGAATGTAATAAAGGCGTTTCATGTTCACTGCCCATTTCTTGGCATACGTAAATATTCTTTAATTTAAAACTTGGCTTTTAATAAAGTTAACAATTTTCACAAGCTTCATTCAAAACAATTTTCAGGTTTTCAGGAATTGTTTTGGGTACTAAAGTTTTGCGATGAATGGAGTAGCGAGTAAATTTAGTTTCAAGGGTAGCTTTCTTTATTTGAGAAATAACACCAGAATATTTTCCTGTTAAAGCCCGAGCTCCATCGCTGCATATGGTAGTGTTAATTCCAAGGAATATTGTTCTCAGACATAAAACTGTATATTAATTTGAAAATTTCATTTTCAGTTGCTCTGTCATGATGAGATTCGCAAACTAAATACTCTTAGAAAATTCTTTTATCTTCTTCAAAGCATTATGTAAACTAATATTTGAACAAAGTTCATTATATCAGTACTTTCATCTAATTGTGATGTGAAATACTCACTGCGTTTTATGTTTTGAATAAGAGTCACCCTTATGAAATTTGCAATTTAACGAATTCGTCGACTTACTGTATCATTTGATATTGGAATATTATTAAGTTCATTAGCTGCTTTTTCATTAAATACTGCTAAAACGATAGCTTTAGCTGTTGGTAATATAAGGTTTTCTCCAATAGTGTGATCCTGCTGAGTCTTGGCAATTCTTAGGCTTACTAGGTAACCAACTTCCAAAGCTTTTTCACTCGACGTAGCAAAACCTTTCAATACTTGTTTACTATTTTTGAAATCCAATAATGTCCTCTTAAAATATTCTTCAAATTTATCCTTTAACTTTAGCATGCTTAGATTCAAGATATCTTTTAAGAAATGATGGTTTTATACTTTGGATAATATTTCACCACAAACAACACATTGAGGTTGAGGGTATTTTTATCACCATTCCAAGTAAACCCCAAATGATAAATAACTTTCCTTATATTTCCTATAAACAATTTTTCTTTCCTTTTCAGTATTCTCAGTGCTAGTAGATTGTATAGTATCCATCATTTGTGAATCTTTTTATTTATGAATGCACCCAGTGATACAGTCAAATACCGAAAATCCGCCGACCTGAAATTCACATTGCCTCTCAAAATATAAACACTCAGTTTATAGGTTCCGGAAACCGCAACATTGAGTATGAAATATCGAAGAAAAAATACTTACCGAATAATGACGTCATAATTACCAAATAATAATGAGTCATAACAGAAATACCAAATTACTGACATCATGATAAAAGTTTTTCCCCCCTCTAATCTGCATCGAGGTACGAAAACAGACGATTCACTCAACTCTTCCTTCAAGTTCACGATTCACGTTGTTGTATTTTCTGAGCTTTGTTATTTCACAAGATTATTTAGTGCTGCCTTTTTTTTATCCGGATATTTTGTGGATAAATTAAGAATACTTTAAATTTCAGCCCTTTTTAATACAATTACAGATAAGAAACGCACTCATGATTTTACTTCTTGCAGCGTTGAAAAACGTAAACACGTTGCATTGATGGTAAAGCAAAAAGTGCAAATTCTACAAAAGATGGAGATGGTGCATTTTATACAGAATCGGTTTATAGCAGAATCGTATGGAATTGTGATACGATTGTGTATAATATATGGAAAAATAAAGAAATGCTGTTGAAATTTTACAGCAACAGTGATTCTAACACTGGAATCCGCAACCGGAAATCTTTGCATGAGGTGAAATCGGCAAACCTCGATGCTGTGTATGTATAATACAATGAATAATATAATCAATTTATATATGCAATAATAATTTAACTCATATAAGTTATTGCAATAATGTATATAATAATTTAATTAAATGTATCTAATACGCCTTTTTATTTTGCACTTTTAGTCTGAATATCATGATTTATCTTTTCTGTCCTGAAATCCGCAAAATTCTAAAATCCGCACAACTTCTGGTTGCAAGCTTTGCGGATTTCTGGACTTCTACTGTGTAACTTCTTATTTTGGATTCTCTATCTTATTTTAGAACATTTTGTAATATGAAATATATACCTAAAATCAAAATTTACAGAAATAAAGCCTGCAACCATTCTTTTCCCCTTGAGAACAAAGAAACTACATATATTTATGAGGTGAAGCACATATAATATCAGTTACATATACATAATAAAAATTATATATATATTCCGCTACAATATTGACAATTCAACTGATGGATGTATTTAAGTCAATGAGATATGTATTATTAAAATATACTATTATTTTATGTTTTTCTTGAACACTATTGGAGTGCAAGTCACCTATATTAAAAAAGATGTTCATGTTCACAAAAGGCTTAGGCATCTCTGCTCTATAATTATGAATGCAAAAAGAAAAAGTAAATCAATGGATTTGAAATAGTTGCATTTCATTACAGAAGACGGTTAAATTATTAGAAAATTCCAACACAGTTATCAAAATTACACTAGAGCTTACTAAAAGACTAAAAATATTTATAATCAAGTTTTAATAGAGGTGCATTTTTACCATTATTGCCCTGAAAACTGTAGCTGATATGCCTTCAGCAACTTCATATTCACCTCGCTCATTTGGTCGGGTAAAATTATTTTCCAAACCAGATCCAAACATTCTAGAAAGATAAAAACTATATTTATAAAGAATACTGAAATTACAACAGTACATTCTATACTTATATGATATAGTATACCCACAATTAACTCAAAATATGAAAAGAGTGTGAATTCACAGTTTTTTAAATTCAATATGCATCTTACAGGACAGAAAAAGGAGACTTCCCCAAAAGCAATGCATTGAACTCAAGAAGTAGTATTACATGAATGATTGCAATGCTGAGGAAGCATTATGTTGATTTCTTCAGATGCATACTCTGCATGACCAAATTACAAATTTAAAGACATGGATCACACATGCTACAGAAGATGTGGGAGCTCTCCAGCAGATGCTGCAGTTTCATCAAATCACCGTGCAAAATGCAGAACACGTCTACCATGTGGTAAATGATCTTGATCTATCTTGGACCACCACGATAAAAGCTCTGTAATGAATACCAGACATGTTTCCACACCACATTCATTGGGTGTGATGTAAATATTAGCCCTTGGATACCAAACAGCAAGGTAACATTTTATGTTTATATTATGATTACAGATTTCAAACAACTATGCTCGATGAGGAGAAATTTAATAAAAATTTCTTTCCACGTGTAAAAATATGTAAATGATATTTTCTAAGGCAAAAGATTACACTGAGTGCTGTTTGAATTAAAAATAACAGATTTGTTCTTCCGATAAGTATATGTGTAAGTATATGTGGGAATTTATTTATTGGGGATTCAGTTAAGCCTTAAAGATATGCTGCAGATAGACATAAATACAGGGTTAACAGGAAAGAATCACCTGATTACAAAAAATTAATATTTTCCATAATTACAAGCAGAAAATTATAATTAATATGTCACTGTAAAGGAAAAATGTAAATTTTTAGTTTGTAACATTATCTCTTTGCAACAGGTGGCAGCACTGTTGTCATTAAGCTGTTGTTTAAATTTTGAAAACAAGTAGAAATGGCATTTAACCCTTTTAACTGCTACACGGCGCAAAAGCCCTGCATTCATTTGTCCTGAAAACTGCGACGCAGTTAGTTATTTTAGAATGTACTCGTGTTACAAAGTACGCATGAGGTCAGACTATGTACCTTCACACCCACGGAGCAACAAAGACACACTGAAACTCGCAGCACGAAAGCGCTGCATCGCGGTTTTCGAGACAAATGAATGCAGCACTTTTGCGCTACGCAGCAGTCAAACAATTAAGCAAGAGACTGTATTTTTGTGTGCTCTCCTTTGCAAAAAGTCAGTCAATAACCACTGTTCAGCATGAATTTAGGAAGTACAAGACAAATAAAGTACCAACATCTCAGAGTATCAAAATGTGCTACAACCAGGTGCAGGAAACTGATTGCCTGTGTAAAGCGAAAAGTCCATGGCAAAACAGGTGTTTCAGCACAGAATGGTGAAAGAGTGCGAGAGACTTTTTTTTATGCAGTCCAAAGAAATCGACAGTTTATGCTAGTCATGAAAGGATACCTCAGTCTATTGTTTGGACTGTGTTGAGAAAAAAATTGCATTTGCAATTTACTACTTACAAATTGCAAAGCATGCAAGCACTGAAGCCTACTGATGAGTTGCAAAGTCTAAATTACTGCCTTTTCATAGTAAAACTTATGCAAGACGAACATTTTTGCAATCAACTTGTATTTACCAATGAAGATACTGTTAGAGCTGGGTGAATAAAATAGCATGTACAAAGAATGTATTTATTCACAGTATGTATATTCAGGAAAAAACAGCCTTATGTACAATAAACATTTCATAAACTTTAGAACCCAATTCAAAACATAACCACCTAATACATTTTTTGACACTGCCAAATTCTAAAGTATGAAAACTTATGTATTTTATTATTAAGGCATGTGCACTTTTATTTATGCCATGATCAAAACACCAATTCACAAAATAGTCCCACCTTTGCCTTGATTGCATATTACAAAGTAAGGCAAATAACTACATTTTAATTAATTCAAAACACTTGCGAAACAATTTGAAAACGAATGAAACTTATCTTTTAAACCCAATAACATAAAAATTACAACCTACTAAAAAATTATAAATAAATAGTTCAGAAGTTCTTATAAAGTCAGCTTGCCTGGCTTAAATATTTTTCAACCACTTCTTGTGACCACACTTGGGTTGGAAGGTAAGTCAGTTTCATTCTGAATTATTGCCTCTTTCCTTTCAACAATTGATTGCACCATTGAACCAAGTATCTTTTTCACAAGAAATATGTAACTGGTCCTATCTCTAAAGCAGTCTTTTCCAAAGTATGGGTACAATGCTGAGGGGCAGGGAGCTCCCGACCTGAGGTACATTGCCAAACGGGATTAGTGCCACCCTACCCACAAAACAATCTACCATGTTGCGACCCACAGAGCAAGGGCAGACAAGGCAGTACCAGTATGGTCCCTGCCGAGCCTTACTCTGTCCTGAGAGCCCTCAGGCCTTCTGTGAAGTCTGTTTTTATACCCCCGTGGTTGGGACTGCCTAGGTACAGATCCTAAACCAGTACTTCCCAGGCATTCACCTGAGTGAACCCCCGGGGGGACCCCTAGAGGTACAGAAAGAGCTTGGCGGGGGTATACTTTGCACCTGAGTTTGCTCGGAATACGCACTGCTTACCTGCCTAATTCTACATTATCATGAGCCGAGTCAAATCAAGACAGTCTTGTGAGGCGCGAGATGGTCCAGTGTGACATGGTGTGAATATAACACACTTCGTTACATAAACAACTTATTTCATTAGTAGTTAGTGGCTTCTCCAGGCGCTTCTGTATTTTTAGCTTTTGTGCAATTTTTCTTACAGGAAAGGTTTGTCATGTGCTTTAGAAAGTCCCATTGTTTCTGATTATTTTTATAAAATATGATTTTTGTCTCTAACATAGGTTATGGTATGCTGGTTGAAATCTGGAACTACTACACCGAAAGAAAGTAATGATTAGCAATAAACTAACAAGAAATAATAAAATTAATGATGAATAAACTTCAATTCTGAAAGAACCTGTTAAAAACAAAGCAAGGAAAACTCGCAAGTACTACAAAGAATATCTTAAATTTGGATTCTCATGGACCGAAGATGAAAATGATTCTATTCCATATTGCGTCATATGTTTTGAAAATCTAACAAATGAAAGCATGAAACCATGTAACTTAAAGTGTCATTTTGAGACAAACCATAATCAGTACAAAGATAAACTCATAGATTTTTTTTTGAAAATAAACTTAAGGATATAAATCAGTCTTGAAAAGTAATGTGGGGTTTGACAGGAAGTAACAATAAAAAAATACTAAAATAAATTGATTGGAATAGATGTGTTGGAATAAGCACAAATGGAGCAAAATATAGTCGGAATTAAATAAGAACTCGTTGCAAGAATTCAAAATGTTGCCCCAAATGTCATATCCTCACATTGTTGCATATACAGAGAGGCTTTGGCAACATGCAAGATGCCCGCTGAGCTACAGAAAGTTCTGTATGAAAACGTGAAAATCGTTGCTACATTAAAAACCGTCCTCTGAATGCACAACTTTTTCGCAAATATGTGAAGAAATGGGAATATCCAGCTTCTTTTCCTACCAATGTTCGTTGGCTATCTCAAAGAAAAATTCTAAATCGATTGTTTAACCCTCTGAGCGTTATGAC